GGTGGGCAGTTTTTGTCTTTCAGCACTGTGAACATATTATCTCATGCTCTCCTGACCTGTGAGGTTCCGCTGGAAAAAATGCTCATGACTTTATGGGGGTTCCCTTCTGTGTGACAATTAGCTTTTTTCTTGCTGCTTTCAAAATTTTCACTTTGACTTTTAATAATTTGATTATAATGTTTCCTGGTGTAATCTCTTTGGGGTTGATCAGTTTGAGGAACTTTGAGCTTCCTGAATCTGGATGTCTATAGCACTCCCAAAATTTGGAAAGTTTTCAGGCATTTTAAAAGACAAACGTTCTGTTCCTTTCTCTCTCTTCTCTTTCTTGGTCCTTCATAATTCATATATTGTTTCACTTGAGGGTATCCTATTAATCCCTTAGTCTTTCTTCTACTCTTTTTCAGTTTTTTTCTTCTCTGAGTGGATAATTTTAAATGACCTGTTTTTGAGTTTACAGATCTTTCTTTTGCTTGACTGAGTCTGCTATTGAGCCTTTCTATTGCTTTTTGGGGGTTATTCTTTGTATATTCAGCTCTGAAATTTCTGTTGAGCTCTTATTTTATTATTTTTGTCTCTTTGTTTAATTTCTCGTGTTGTTCATATATTGTTTTCCTGATTTTATTATCTATCTATAGTCTCTTGTAGCTTGCTGAGCTTCTGTAAACCTTATCAGGCAGTTAATATATCTATTTGGGGTCACTTATAGAAAATTATTGTGTTCCTTTGGTGGTGTCATGTTTCCTTGATTTTTCATGTTCCTTGAAACTTTCATTGCTCTCTTCACATTTGTAGAAGCAGTCACCTCTTTCTGTCTTACTGGTTGGCTTCAGAATTCAGAACAGAAAGACTTTCACCAATCAGCTTGACTAGAGAGTCTAGGCGTCTCTCAGATATTTTCTGCAGATATACCTGCTCTACTCTTCCTCTTCCTTCTTACAGGTATATCCTAGGATCGTATGCGTTAATTTAATTCTACAAAGCCAAGTTGAGTGCTGAAAGCTTCCCATTTATTTTCCATAGGAGAGTGCCCTGAAGTGTTCAAGGTTAAGCACCATCTCCCAATCCAGCAGAGTCAAGTCAGCTGTCTGCATGTGCTCATGCATGATATGCAGAGGCTTACATGCATTGCTGTGGAGATCTGCATGGGGCAATAGCTCTGGGGGACCCAAAGTACTAGAAGTATGAGTGAGATGCTTGGACATTCACAAGTGATGCGTCCTACAAAGCTTATGGACAGGGTTCTTGGGGGAGTCTGTCATGTGGTAAGTAAAAACTGAGTTCTATCCCTTGGTTGCAGTGAGCCTCTGCCCCTTTTTCATTTTCTGTTGCCCCCAGACTCATCTGCCATACTGATCCCCTCAGTGTTCTGAGTACCGTGGGAAAGAAGTAGGCCTCTTGGGCACCATCCTGCATGGGTAGCAACACCAGGGGCTCATTATGCCCCCTCTTTTTCTCATATCAGAATACGCAGGTCAAGGAGGTCTTTTTTGGCACTGAACTGTGCTATTTTGGTGGAGGGGTGTTGTAGGTAAAGTGACACTTCTCATACTTTTGGAGTTTTTGTGTTCCAGTGGGGTCATGGAACCTTTGCACTGGACTCATGGGCACCCACAAAGCTACTTTTTATCTATGGGTACTTTTCAAAGTCAGTGTTTCTTGAGGTGAATGAGGACTAGAAACTCCTATTCTACTATATTGCTGATGTTATGTGTCTTAAAACTCATTGACTATAACTAAGCTATGTGCCTATACCTAGCTGTAGGTGAAGCTAGGAGACGTAGATGTTGTTTTGTATAACCTTTTGTTTAGTTAAAATTCAGGGATTTACTGAGTAAGGAAAAAGGAGAACGAACATTGAGTAAACCTATCAGCTTCTGTCATATATAAACATCATTATTAGTTATGTCATTTAAGTCGTTTTTCTTCTTTTAAAGATGTGGGGTACAATTCAGGGTTAGGTATGCAGATGTTCGTTATGCAGGTACCCTTGTTGACGAGGTATGCCCCTCCCTCCCCTGGCAGTTTCCCTCAACTGCCAATCCCTTTCTTGTAGTATTATGATAATTGTTCAAGGTCCACTTATGAGTGAGAACATATGGTACTCTGTTCTTTGTATTTAAGTCTTTTATGCCTTTTTTTCTTTTAAAAGTATTTTTAATTTAATTTTTTAAAATAAGTAAACCATTGGTTCAAAAACCAAAGAGAATAAAGAACTACACTGTGAAAAGTCTCTCTCTAATCTACCCAATGTCACTAACCACATTTGTTAATTTCACTATACATGTAAGAGTAAATATAAATACATCTTATCTTTCACTTCTTTTAGAACAAGACATAGCATGTTATGCACCATGCTTATTGTTTCTGTTTTTTCTTTGCTATTTAAAAAATTTTAACCATACATCTTGTAGCTCTTTCTAGGGTAAACTTTCTTGTTTTTCTTTTCTAGGTGCATCATATTTATGTATGTACTATAACTTATTTAATCAGCTCCCTGTTGATGAGCATTTGGCATGTCTCCAGTCTTTTATATTACAGGCAGTACTATCATGAATAAACTAATCAGTGTACCATTTTGCATGTATAGAAATATATGTCATCTCTACCTATCAAAGTATTTTTGTCTGTTCCTTCATCTACTTTCATGGTTTTTGCTTTTTAAATGTTCAGAATAAGTTATTTGTTATATGCCTATCAATTTTATCTTCATTAAGAATGATACCTTTACTAAAGGGTGTCCTGGGTCTTGTTTAACAACTTTTTAAAATCTAAATGCATATTTGTTTGCCTTGAATAACTTCTTATCTCTTCTTTGAAAAGTAACTTTATGGAGTTTTATTTATTTTATTTAATGCTTTCATTTTGTATTTTTGAGACAGGGTATCACTCTGTTGTCCAGGCTGGAGTACAAGAACATGATCATGGCTCACTGCAGCTAAACTCCTGGGCTCAAGTAATCCTCCTGCCTCCGCCTCCTGAATAGCTAATACTACAGACATGCACCACCATACCTGGATAATTTTTCTATTTTTTGTAGAGTGTGGTGTGCCTAGGCTGGTCTTGAACACTTGGCCTCAAGTGAGCCTTCCACCTTAGCCTCCCACAGTGCTGGAATTACAGGCTTGAGCCACTGTGCCTGGCAGGTTTTATTTTTTATTGTCTTTTATAGAAGTTGTTTTAAGTTTTAAATTTACAGAAAAGTTGCAAAAAATACCCCATCTTCTGCACCTAGATTCCCCAATTGTTAGCACTTTACTGAATTTGTACATTATTTCTCTATATATATAATTTTCAATTTATGTTTTCTCTGGCATGAACCTCATTATCCCCAAGTACTCCAGAGCATACCTCCCCCAACAAGGACACTTTCTATATTACTACTGTGTAGCCTCTCAATCAAAAAATCAGCACTGATACAATTCCACTATGCAGATTTTACCAGCCATTGCAGCAATACCTCTTCTCTCCTGATCTAGGAATCTCTCCAAAACATGTACTGAATTTAGTTATCACTTCTCTGCAGTCTCCTTCAGTCTGGAACAGTTCCTCAGTATTTTCTTATCTCTCATATACTTAACAGTCTTAAAGTCTGAGGGCACTGGAGAGGAGAGGAGAGACTGTGACGCAGTGGCACACAAGTGCCTCTGTAGGTTCAGACCATGTTCTAGTTTTTGATTTGTGTTTTGACTGGAATTTGCTTGATAAAAATTTGTTAAAATTTACATTTGTGTTTCATGTACTTTTTTGCTACTAATATGTTATTTGTAATAAGAAAGGTTTAGAAATGAAGTCTGATAATTGATTTCATGAATCCAGTTTAAGTTACTCTTGGGCAATTTTATATTTTCCACTGTAGCTTAAATACAATGAAGGGAATATTAAAAGAGACAAAATAACACTGGAAAATCCTTCTTTTAACCTAAATGTTTATAATCTTGTCTTTTTATGCTTGTCACCATGGTGCCCAGATAAAGTAATAAAGATATCATTTTAGCAGAACATAGAGGTTTCAAAACTAATTTTCATTTTTCCTTTTCTGTGTTCTCAGCTGTAGTTTAAAATTCTTTTTGGTTTGCCACACATTGCTGCTGTGGGACAATACCCAAATTGCTTTCCTCTGTTATATTTCCAGAATGGTGGCACCATCTTTAAGGACAGAAATGTGTCAATATAATAAGACCAAATGCCTTGGATAGACAGTTATTATCATTAGTAGAAGAAATGCATTGGAGATTTTTCCCTGAATTCTGAAAAGTGTATGGGGAAATTAAATATGAAACTCCTTAACAGCTTTGCATTTCCCTGGACTCTAATGCAATAGTTGTAGTGTCACTAGAGGACATGTAAAAGTATAGTTTATATAACATTAAAATTCTGAGCATATTCTTACATCCATAGCACATTTATATTATGTTATTGATTTTAGTTCTTCAGAGAAGTAGCTACATTTATTTGTCATTCTTCATGACATCTCTTGGTATTCTTGTATGTCATATAAAAACCCCAAAAGAGACAGCAGGGCCTCCACACATGACTAAGAGTGTTGTGACTGTCAGTGACATTTGTGTCTCTTCACAGTCCCTTCCCATCATGCTTTTCACTCTGACCAGATTACTGAACAAACCCAGATCACAGCTGTAATTTTCATGGAGAAATGGATTCCTTGATCAGTAACACAGTCTCTTCAGTTCATTTTTTAAAAATTAGACCCATTTTCAGTGCCACTGGTTTGAGTTTCCCAGCCTATTTAACATTCCTGTAATTCAGAGAGAGCAGTTATATAATTTAGACAACAGCAGTATGAAACTGTTTTGCCTGTGGTCCCTTTGATGTTGATGAAGGAATGAATAAGAAAGTACAGTTACGTCATTGCTGATTAATTTTTTTATCTGTGTGCATTTGGGCTAGAGACAAATGGGAGTATTTTTAGACTTACTGGAATGCTCATCGCTTTCTTATCTTTTGCTTTACCTACATAATTCTTTTTTATTTTAATGCAGGTACAGCCTGACTATTTGGACTGGAAAAAATGATAACTATTCCATTGAAGATTTACTTTATATTAGAGACCATTTTGACAAAAACCAAGTTTTCTATGACATCTTGGAACCACAAAACCACGAATTTAAACAAGCCATTGGAATCAACGTTAATCTCTAAGAAGATTCTTCTAAATTGTTTCCTATGTTTTGGTTTCATAATCCTTCTTGCATTGGTCTGAATTAGCATATACAATATGATTGTTTAGTTTATGTTCCAATTCATCCAATCAAGAAACATTGATTGCTTACTCTGTTGCCATTTGTCCTTATAACGGCGCACTTAAAAGATTTGGAAAGAAGAGGTTTCTGTGGTCCTAGTCTAATAATTTAGGAAAACAATGCTCTGAACCCCTTTATAAAAAGTAATTTTGATACACTGAAGATGATTGGGAGAATCCACATATGTCATAAAACAAGCATAAATTACATTTAATTGGCACCTACATTACAGAAATTGCAAAAAAAAATATGGCATCCTCCTTTCCTTTCTCCTGGAAGACTGGTTATTCCAGAGATTTAAAAAAAAAAAAGAAGACTTTAAAAATGTTTTTAACTTTCACAGGGGTGAGTAGCTGTCTCATGCCAAATCTAATCCATTTCCTGAAACTATAGTTTAAATTAGATCTAGAATTTCCATATTGTTGGGAGGCATACTAGCAGCTAAGGATATTTTTCGTATCATTTATTTCTATCGTATCTTATCTACAGTGAACAATATACTGTTGGAAAACAGTCTTAATCCTTAATATATCACTTGTTTTCCATGGTCCTCACTGCCGCCACCTTCGTTCAGGTCCTTATTCCCCTGCTAGAATTTTATAAGCTACTTCTCTATGTCTTCATTCCTCACACTTTACTCGGACACCCTGAGTTTTTCTGCTAAACAAAACTTTCTTAAATACTCTTTTCTATATGCCAAATCAAAAAACTTCAAGGGCATAAATTCTATTCTATTCAGTTTTTGTCTTTCAAGACCCTCTATAATGCAGTCCCACCCTAAAAGTCATTTAATGTGCTCCAACACAAGCCTTCATTTTAAAAATTCATTCAAGATCAATGGTCTCTAGATCTTTAACAGTTCATTTTAACTAATTATGTCATCCTTGTTGGTTATGTCTCCTCAGCTAGATTGTGAATCCCTTTATGGTACATGCTTAAGTATCCTTTGCAGTGCCTGTGTAGTCCTAAGCAAAGCATTCAGGAAAATGTATTACTTGTTTGATTTATTAAAAAGTAATTTACCAGTGAATGTCCTAAGATACTTGTTTGCCTTTGGTTAATCAACCATTTTTTTTCTCCCAGAGAATAAAGTAGTTTATACAAAGAAAAGAGGTTGGATTTTAAATTCAGACAATCTCCCTGTGTCCCTTACTAGCCATAGACTTTGGGAAATCTTTAATGCCATCAACTCTAGGATTATACATCTGTAAAACTGCGGGAAGCTGGAATGAGAGTTCTCTTGTGGGGCTATTTGCTCAATGACCTAGTGAGTGATCAAAAGATAGGGTTAGTTTCTCTTCACTTTGACTTGTCATGTGATCATATCTATTATAAATAGACAGTACTAAGAGTATGACATGAAATATTGTAGATATACAAATACTTAAAGACAATTATAGTATTTCCACTTCAGATTTCAGCTCCAGGTGAGTGGAGTGCTATCTATCAAATAACTCCTAAAACCTTACTTTCTATGTTTGTTTGACAAAGGCAAAAGGTAAAATTTCATTGTAAAATTTCAACAACTGCCTTAGGGAATAATTTTTAAGTTACAGTAAAAAATAGTTTATAAATTTTCTACAATGACCATGCATTACATACATTACTGATGACATCTGAATTTATAAATGAACTGCCTTTTGGTTGAAGTTTGAAGTGAAATTTATTTGTCCAGAATATTATTTTTACTACTTAATTATTTTACCCTTGATATTTAAAAAAGCATTAATATGGAGAAATTATTTTATATTGAGCTATTTATAAGCCTAATGTTACTTAGATTAAGATTTAAAGGTGCATTTAAGTTGTTTTTTGGAGCAAAAACATATGAGAGATACACATAAGAGACTGTAAAATATATTCTGTTGAGAAGTAAATTTTTGACTGGTGTGGTGGCTCATGACTGTCAGAATCCTAGCACTTTGAGAGGCCAAGGCAAGCAGGTCAATTAAGGCCAGAAGTTCAAGACCAGCCTGGGCAACATAGCAAGACCTTGTTATGATAAAAAAATTTAAAAATTAGCCAGATGTGGTAATGTGTATCATAATCTCAGCTACTTGAGAGGCTAAGGTGAGAGGATCACCTGAGCCCAGGAATTCAAGTTTGCAGTGAGCTATGATTGCAACTGCACTTCCAGCCTGGGAAACAGGGTGAGACCCAGTCCCCCCCCCAAAAAAAGCATTTTTAATGGCTATCAATATAGAAAAAATAAGCTTGATCCCCACCTCACATCGTATACAATTTGAGCTCTATCTTAGGCCTAAATATAAAAGCCAAGACTATAAAGCATTTAGAAGAGATTAAGGGAGAATGTTTTCATGACTTTGAAGTAGGCATAGATTTGTTTGTTTGTTTTTTTGAGCCAGAATCTTACTCTGTTGACCAATCTGGAGTGCAGTGGCACACTTATGACCACCACAGCCTTGACCTGCTGGGCTCAGGCAATCCTTCTGCCTCAATCTTCCAAGTAGCTGGAACCACAGGAGTGCACCACCACACCTAGCTAATTTTTGATTTATTGTAGAAATGAGGTCTCATCAAGTTGCCCAGTCTGGTCTCGAATCCCTGGGCTCAGGCAATCCTCTCACCTCCATCTCCTAAAGTGCTGGGATTATAGGTGGGAGCCACCACTATCAGTGACATAGGTGTCTTATAACCCATAAAGCAGTAGCCAAAAAGGAAAAAGTTGATAAATGGACTTTGTAAAAACTTAAAACTTCTAATCAAAAGACACCATTGACACATACTTGACAGAGGACATATCCAGAATATTTAAAGAATTCCTGTAAACTGACAAGAAAAAGTCCCCCAAAAAACTAATTAAAAATGGACAAAAGACTTGAACAAGCTACTTTAAAAATGATATTCAAATGACCAAAAGAATATGAAAAGGTACTCAACATTGCCCATCCAAGAAAGATAAATTTAAACCACAATGAATACCAGTACATACCTACTAGAAAAGATAATATTATAAAGACTAACAATAACTTTTAGGAAAAAAGGAAAAGAGTTTGGCAGTTTCTAATGAAGACACGTATATCTCTACCTGAAGACCCAGCCATTCTATCTATGGGCATATATCAGAAAAAAGAGCTCATGTGTTTGCATTAAAAAGACTTAACAAGCTGGGCTTGGTGGCTCAGCCTGTAATCCCGCGCCTTTGGGAGGCTGAGGTGAG